TCACTCAGTCCACGAGTAATTTGTCGATAACAGGTGCCACCACGTCCGACGTAGAACGCGGAGGTGCAAATCCAAAGTTGACGTGGGTGGTGCGGCAATAACGCTGACAGACGGCGGTGAATCATTCCTTCGGCTAACTTTAGTAAAACAGAGAGCAGCGTGATAGGTCTGTAACTCTCTGGGCGGCATGGATCCTTCCCAGGCTTGGGATAGAAATAGCGTCTCCCATTTTCCAGGAGCCAGGCAGGCTGCCGTTTGCGAAGGAGTTGTGGATCATCGTTCTAAGTGTGCCACGCGCAACGGGCACGAGACGGTGCAGGAATTCATTCAACATGTCGTCGGGGCCAGGGGCTGAGCCAAGCAAAGAGTCACGGATGGTTACGTCAAGTACATACGGCGGGAAAGGCCGATCCATTTCCCAGCCACCAGGAACCAAAGGAGTGCAGCAAGCAGCAGCAGCAGTATAAGGCGGTATGGCACGTGAAACCGCACAAAATGACGGACAAGCAGATTTGCCTGTTGCCGAGGCAGGGCGCATACGCGGCCAAGCTAAGTGCGGAGCACAACCGATTCCAGAGGATGAGGGTGCGGCGCCGCCATGCCGTGAAGATATCGCCACCTCGGGCTGGGTGAGGCTCCAAGTCTTTTCGCGCGGGCTTCCAGAAGCACAGCGGAGCAACGGCCTAAGGCTTGATTTCGTTCCTCCCTTTTTTCGGGTACATTCGGCTCAAAGTAGGCTGTCTCCGGGTGAGGCAATGTGTGTGCTTCGTGTGCTGCCTCGGCGGCGGACTCGGCCTGTTCCATTTCGTGTGTCCATATCTTTTTGGAGCTGTCACAGCTGCCGCGCGGGATGTGGCGCTCAGCTGCTCGTAAGATGCCTCCGCGAGGATCCAACCATGTGGACGCGGTGGCAAGGAGGGTTTCACACAACGATGTAAAACCAGGGCAATCCGCTTTACGCAGGGCAAGGGTGGCTTTCTTCCGTCAAAGCAGCGTGTTTGCTAGTCGTGGAGTGCCATCGTCCATCTCTACCAAGTAAGATATTCAGCAGTGGTCCGAGTCCATGTAAGGGGCGAATGTCCAGTGGGAGATGCGTAGGGCGCAATACGCAGTCACGTCAGGGGACGAGGCATTACGATGTGTGATCCGTGTTGCCTGTGTCGGGTAATTTGCCAGCCCAAAATCCATATCGATTAGAACAGCGGCGAAATTATCGCCTCCAGTCCTTGATGGTATATATGACTGTCCCAAAGTTCACGATGTAAATTCAGGTCACCCGCGATAATCTCTTCGGGCACAAGCGGCAAACGATATTGATAAATGCGGATTATTGACCAATTGTTGTGGGAGGGTTGTAGAGATTCGCCACGCAAATGCTGCGACAGCCCGGCGGAAATACACGGACAGCAATGGTCTCCAGGAGGTCAGTGCCAGGGAGCGACGGGCGCTCGCACGGTAGAGAGTGGCGCACCAGAACGGCAACGCCACCACCGCGCCCAGTGCGGGCTGAAGGCAGTCATTATGGCCACATAATTTCGTCGCCACGCCACCACGGTTACTTGTTTCCTGCAGAAGAACGGTGTCAGGTGGGCGCTGCCCCAATCGCGCCGCAAATGCAATCTTTTTACGGACGAGAGGCCTGCAATGTTAAGCTGCCAAATATTGTTGAAGCCATCCTCCTCGGTGGCAGGGCTCTTGTGAACGTCACCGCAACGGGTGACATCAACGGAGTGACCGCTGCGAAACGGTCGTGCAGTTCTGTCCGACAGTCTGCAGGCAGACCGCCTCACCTCCCCGCACCGGGCATGGCGTGGAACCTTATCGGGGGGTGAAGTCACCTTGGTCTCCGTCGTGCTCGCAGCAACGCCCTGCTGCGGAGTTCCTATACGCAACCAGAGCCCAACACCGCGACAAGGTGCAACGTCATCGCCGGGGACCGTGGATAATTACGAAGAAGGGCGGTGTCGGCATTCCCAAGTCAGCCGGGATTGGCATACTGCTCTCATCCCCGCATTCCTCGAAGATAATAGAGAAGGTCAGTACCAACGGCGGCACACGCCCATGCAGCCGCACGACGGAGTCCCGTGCACTGCTCCCGGCCATGGAAAGGCTGAGTGTCCATCGTATCCAGCACAGACAAAAGCCCTGCTTGTGGTTACAGACAGTCATTCCCTTCTAGCCGCCGTCACCAAGGGCCCGCACAGTCATACCGACTGGACGGAGGATCGGCTCTGGCAGCGTCTCTTGACACTGACGCGTGCCGGCTGGTCCGTGCAGCTGCAGTTTGCTACGAACATCGCGGAGTACACGTTAACGAGCTTGCAGATCAGCATGCGACGCAGACCACGGCAACCGGGCAACACACGGAGCATGGAATAGCACCCATACGGCACACGGACCTGCTGACATGCATTAACACCCAGCTCACCAACAAGTGGCGTAGTACCATGCATCAGGACACCCACCACTACCTGCTTGGCGGCGCCAGGCCATCAGATCCAGGCGGCAAGCACCTAATCACTCAGGAAGCCCTCGACTGACAGGAACGGATAAACACTGCACGGGAAGGGTGCGGGGAATCTGAGCTCTGGGGTCGCCTGTACTGGACTGTGAGAGACTGCACGAACCGACGCCGATTACGCAACATCTCACCGGAACACTCCGCTTTCATGCGCTCCAACGACGATCCCACCGCACCGGGACGGAAGCTGTTCCCCCGACGACAAGGGAGGCCGACGCACCGCCTGTGGAAAGACGGCCCTCCACACAGCGTCGAAAGAAGAAATGCCCGCACTGTGACGCCACACTGGTGGGACACACGAACCACATCGGTCACTGTCGGTGCTTTCATCCGGAACACCCACCAC